AGCAGGTCCTTGAATAACTGATTTGTTCAGCATTGTTTTGTTATAGCATCAATGAGGAAAAATACGGTTTCCCAACTGGGGCCACTCTGCAGAGTTTGCACATTCGTGCCTGCATGGGTTTTCTCTGGGGACTTGCTTTCCTTCCACATCCTAGAGATGTGCACGGCAGGTGAACTGGGGTGCCTGCACTGTCCTGGCCTGAGAGAGCACGGGTGTTGAGTTGGCCCCGCAATGGACGGGCGTCCTGTCCAGAGTGGGTCCCTTCTCGCACGGAGCTGCCGGGATAAGCTCTGACCAACCTTGCCCCTCAACTGCAGTACATGGGTTGAAAAGAATTCTCCTTTTTATTCATCTTTCCTCAATTGTGTCTATGTAGCTCACATTTATTTCAAGCTTATTACAAGTCATGTGAGGCCTTACTTGGATGTTTGGTGAGTTTTTGTGACCAGAAATACGCCATAGGAACTTAACATCTTGCTTATTTATGTCAGTTAGCTTACGGTAAAATTGGTTTTGTCGTTCATCATTTAGCTTAACTGCAGTTTCCAAGGATCTATCAAGAACGTGTAAGTGAGGACAGCTGTAGTTGAGACTTTTTCCCTTTGCTTTTGGAGTTCTGCTCTTTTACTAGGATTTGTCCAGGCAGGGGTTTTATTTATTTATTTTTTTTAACCTGTTCCAGACTCTACTAACATCTGAAGATGTGTGCCATTCATTTATTTTAGAAAATGTGAACCCATTATTTCTCCAATTATTGCCTCTCCCATTCTCTGTCTCCTTTCTCTGGGGCTCAGATACACATTAGCTTTTCGTTCTGTCCATCATGTCTCTTCATCTTTCCTTATGTTCCACCTCTGAATTTCATAATCATTTTAAGTAATTTGTTATTGTATTCTTGGGATGCTGGTTCTCCTACCCATTAGATGTACTCACTCCTCCATAGTGGTGTGTTTCTTCATGTCGTTTATAGTTTCCATTGCAAACTCACCCTCAGCAATTACTATCTTTTTGTTTGCTGGGGTCTTTTCTGTAGTGTTCCCTGAGCCTTGGGTTGTGGACATCTATCTAACTGTAGAGTGATTTGGGGTGTATTTTCAAAACGGCCTAGTGGCAAACAAATAAAACACGATTTCTTATTAGGTAATACATGTTTAAGATACAGAATACTTAAAACAATAGTGAAATATAAGTCTCCTTCCCACAACCTACCACAGTCCCCTCCCTGCTGGCAAGGAACTAGTCTGAGTATTGTTCCAGAGCTTTCTCTGCAAGTGCAAGCATGTAGATGTGCACTTTTTCCCCCCACACTAATTGTAGCTACTATGCAAACCTTTAACCACATTTTAATGTCTTGAGACTCTTTCATTCTTGTGAATATATCCATAATATTCTATTGTGTGAATATGTAATAACTTAACAGCCTACTATTAATGAACATTTAAATTGTTTCTAGTTTGTTATTCCATGGCACTACTATAGATATTCTGGTAAATGTCATTTTACACATGTGAGTAAAATTATAATTATCTATAAAATAAATGCCTAGAAGTAGGATTACTAAGTTTTAGGGTATATACTCGTACATCTTTAATTTGGGTACTTTTTTCTAAATTCCCCTCCAAGAGAAGTTGGGTCAATTTACACCTCCATGAAAATGCCTGTTTTTCATACTCTTGACAGAACTGTGATGTTAAACTTCTTGGTCTTTGTCAGTTTGAGAAGTTTACATTGCTCTTTTTCTTAGGTTGGACATCTTAAAAAATCTGAGTCATTTATGTTTTCTTTCCTGCAAGTAGCTGTTTGTTTATTCTTTGCCATAGTTTTTAAATCATGATATTGGTCTTTTCTTACATATTTTCGGTGTTCTTTAAAAAAATAAATCAACCTTTGCTGCAAATGTTTTTCTGAATTATTTGCCTTTTTAGTTTATGTTGTTTTATAAACCACACAAATATTTTTAGTTTTACATAATTCAAATTTATCATTTTATGGCTGTTGTGTTTTGTATCATACTTAAAGACTTTTGCACTGAACTTTTTTCTTTCTCCCAACACTTTTACTATTATCTTTACTGTTTTTAAATTCCAATAGATAATAATTAAGTCTAAGCCATTTTTTTCACCTTCAAATTCTCATTCTACATGAGCTGTGTAAACTGTTATTACCGACATTCTGGGATCATGAACATAAACGTTTGTCACAGCAGGGAGCAGTGGAATGGGGAGGTGTTGCTGACTTCTCAGTGTGCTTCTGGTTGTGTTATGAATGCAGAGAAATGGACTTTAATTAGACCGCGAATCCTACTTCTCTGATCAGCCCATTCAATTCCAACTGTAGTTCTTAATCTTAGTGTTACGTTCTTTACAGTCTTACAGGGAAGAGTAAAACTTACCAAAAACACCTTTTCAGAAGTTAAATGCTTCTGGGAAGGAAATTTCAAACTTGTGGAGAAGATAGCTTAATATTGTTTGGAGAGTAGGGAAATAAGTTAATCACCAAATCACTCTTTTCTGTTCAGGAGTTAGCAAAACATTTTATATATAGAATTAGGCTTAAATTAGTAAATGTTGATTCACATTCATTCTTACTGAGTTAGCCATCTAAAAAACATGTCTTATGAAGTTTTGTTTTTACATTCACTCATTGTTGAGACCTCCCTAGGGCAGCTGGCAGAGAATTTTACTAGAGAAGGTGCTGGTATATATTAATTTGCTCAAAGATGGAGGGGATTCTGATTGCTGTTTTTATAATGCTCATCTTTTCTTTTCTTCTTTTTATGATTTAGATGTACTTTGTGGTTTATACTCTGAAGTACCCTAAGTAGCCTGGATTGTAGGCCAGGGAGGTAAATACAACAACCAAATGCTAAGGAAAGCTGTTGGTGTCTATAGCTTTTTTTTCTTCATTCTCTTCCATTTTGAATTATGGAATGATTAAATAAATTCAGTAACCAAATGATAATTGTGATGGTCACCTAATATTAAGTAGCAATATGGAAAATACATAAGAATGGGAAAAGCAGGATAAAAAATATAGTACTTTACTGGAAATAATCACCTTTTATTTTCTTATCAATGTAGCAGTACCTAATAATGCTACTTTTAAAATTTATTGCTAATGCCACTTCTGGTTGCAGGCCCTAAACTTTTCAGACAGTGAATTTCTTATATTTGGTGAACTTCATGGTGCAGTGCTTTCTATAATTCAAGTTAATATTCATAAATGTTTAGAATTTTATCTGTTTAAAATTTTGAATTCCACTCTCAAAGGTACAAATGCTGTCTGACCCATAACCTTTAGTTTCCTAAATGTTTCAAATATGAATGTGGGTATAATCATCATTCTGCTAACTTAAAAATCAAGGAATTTCCAGTTTTTTCTACTTGTTTACTTCGCTTTAGAAAATACTTTATTCAGTTAACTAGACAGTAGCTTTCTCACTGACCACACTTGTTACTCAAGTAAGCCAATAATTGTGGTTTAAAAATTTTCTCTGAATTACCTTTGTCATGTATGGATGACTTTCAGACTCAGGAAATATTTTTTTTAAAAAATTATGTATCTATTTTGGAAATCTTATTAGCACATAATTCTTAAAACAACATTTTAAACAGAAAAATTCTACATGCTCTGCAGCCTAAGATGAAGACAGAATTACCTCTTAAAGGGTTATTATAAAAATCATTTTTTTCAGTAGCCAGACCTTACCAGTTATATGAAGTAAAAATTCTCCCTCTACTCCCCAGAAACGTCACCACTGTTAAGTGTTTGGTCTGTATTCTCCCTGGTGTTTTTCATGCACATACAGAGTGTAAAATGTACACACATGTATGGTCTTGAATTCAAAGTGAATCATCATATATATATGTATATTTGTGTGTATGTGTATACATGCTCTTCGGAATTCCTTTTTCCAGTTAATATATTATAGACTTCTATGTCTGTACATATAGTTACCTCATTCTCTTTGATAGCTGTATACTATTCCATTAAATTAACATACTATAATTTATTTAACCAATTTCTTGATATAAAAAAATTAGGGTGTTTGTTTTATTTATTAGTATTTGTTTTCAGCAACTGAAGTGTCTCTTTAACCTATATTTAGGTGGAGATTTTGGTTACCATAAGTGAATCTGTTTAAAGGGTCAAAATCTAGTTTCTCTTTGTTTGGAATTGCAGCTAATTCACTTGGAAGAAACTTAGTACGTTCCCACCTCCTAGGAACATAGGTACTGGGCTAGGCCCCGAGCGGAGGGGCGGGTGAGACAGGTACTGCTCTCTAGGACGGACGGTGGGGGGGCTCACCCTGTCGCTTGGGAACTGCCCCTTATCGCCGGGCTGTTTCCCAAAAGTGGTGACAAGTGAACACCATTACATTCTTTAATGGCTTTTCTTCGTTTATGTAGATAATTGTGAGTATACTGTAGTAATCAGGTGGCATTTATTTTGAAAATGGGTCATATTTCTGATGGAACCTTTATTCAGCAAAGGTTTGTCGGCCATCGCCTGGCTGGGCACCCCAAAGCAGCAGCCGCAGGGACTGCAAAGATGGTCCAGTGTCTGCCCCCGAGGAAGTGTGTGCCGCCTGCCCTGGGTGGGAGGAGAAGGCCCACAGCTCACTGAGTCTGTACACGGCGCTTACAGTGGCTGTCCTGTCAGCGAAGCATCGTTTGGAAGCAAACTGGCTTCCAAGCCTAATGGCCCAAATGTCCTCTTCTCCCTAATACCTCACAGTCCTCATCTTTGACTGCGAGTCTTGGGGCATCTGAAATAATTCAAACTTAGGGTTTACATTTTCAGTGAAAACCTTTACTTTGGTCAAAAAGGCAGATTTCCAAGACGTGTTTTCTCATTACCCCATCCGGTATCTGTACATGTTTTGAAAGTAAGGCTGTGTAACATATATGAGTCATTATGATGTTTCTTTTATTTGACTTTTGCCTTTGAGACAGTCTAAAATATCGTTACGTAATCTAAATCATTTCTCTCTCCCCCAGCGGGTCCATACGGAATATTTGCTGGTAGGGATGCCTCCAGAGGACTGGCGACATTCTGCCTAGATAAAGATGCACTTAGAGACGAATACGATGATCTCTCAGATTTGAATGCCGTACAAATGGAAAGTGTTCGAGAGTGGGAAATGCAGTTTAAAGGTACCTTTATTTTGTTGAGTTCTTTGGAAATGCTAAATTTATGGCCGAAGAAAGAGAATGCTATTTCACATTCTTTATGAGCCCAAGGATGCCGGATGTTTTCATTGCCATCATTATTTGATATAGCAATATGATTGTTACATGGGATTTATAAAATCCATATTTAAAAATTGACTCGTTACAAACTATAAGTCCAAGAAAAATGGTGACACCTTTACTGGTATAAGTTTTGTTTATTAAGGTGTAGTTTTTTAAAAAATACAGGCTTATAACTGAACTGATTACTACTAACGTGATAGTATATTTATAACTTATTCTAAATGATTTTATTGATCTTACCTTTGAACTGTAAGGAAAAAAATATTTCTCTTTATTATACCCTCGTGACATCAATTACTACCACCTATGTGACACTCGGGACCTGTGTGACCTATGCATCCCTTCTGGCTTCTTGGCGCTTGTACTGGTCCTACAGTAAAACGCAGTCCTCCTGTCTTCTCTTGGTTTGTCAGATTCAGTTAACCTAGGATCAAACTCCTGACCAAGAGATAACTGAAGGTGTATCAACTTGGAAAGAACAATGTTCTACATTAAACACCTGGTGACATAAAAACAGACAATGTAACAGATCTAAGAAGACAATTTGATAGAGGAAAGAATACTACATTTTACTTCATCCCTGTTCTATGTAAAGCTCAGTATATTTATAGATTTTTAAATAACTTAAAAATGCCCTATGTTGCCAGTTTGTTTCTTTGATGATAATACTTTCGGCTATTAAGATTTAAGGAACTATTCTGAGACTCCAACAGTATACAGCAGAGGCCAGTTTTGGATTACGTCTCCAGACCTAACCCCGCCTGGGATAAGTACCTCTGAGAAGGGTCCTGGACATTCATAGTTTTTAAAAAGATGTCTAAGAGATTCTGATGCTGTGTCCTTGGTTAATAAGTGGTAGTATGGAACAGTCTCTTGCAAAGCACATTCCCAAGCTTTGTAAGTTCCGTTATCGTGTTTTCTTCTGTTCAAGCTTTACATGAGTACACAGACCAGCAAAGGTGAGCAGGAGGAAACATTTAGCTTGCTCTGTATGATCCCAGGAGAGGCACATGCCCCCCCCGCTGTATAATGGAATAGTGAAACAAATTGGATCACTACTGATTTTCTTTTGATGTGTCTTTCAGAAAAGTATGATTATGTAGGCAGACTGCTAAAACCAGGAGAAGAACCGTCAGAGTATACAGACGAAGAAGATACCAAGGATCACAATAAACAGGATTGAACTTTGTAAACAACCAAAGTCAGGGGCCTTCAGAACTGCAATTCTTACTCCTTTTCACAGAATGTCCAGCGTCTTTGGGTTTGGTTCACCTGCTGCAAAAAACACTCAACAGACTGTGTACAAGCTAAACAAGTCTAAGAAGATTTGAATACTAGACATCCTTTATGCTGCCAAACTCATTTGTTGCAGTTGTTTGTAATGTCTGGTAAATGTGGGGCTTCATCATCTTGAAAAGGAGGAGACAGGGATTTTTTTGTTTTAAAAGAGCAAGAAAGTTACGAGGTTACTTTTTCTTTTAGGAAAAAAGAAATCAAAGACAACCAGATGTATTTGTGTACAAATCTCAGAAACAGCAAGGGATCCCCGTTCCCTGTGCTGTGCTTCTGTTTCAGTATTGTGGGAAGGAAGAAATTGGGGCAGAAGAGGCAGGGCGCCCACCAATTTGAGTAGTTTAGGCTACTGAAACATTAAAATGTGAATCCCAAAACTTTTCGTGTTGGGTTTTATCAGGGAAAAGGGAAAAACAAACTTTATTTCTAAGAAATCTTTGGATATTAGGAGACGGGACTTCAAGTGGATTTAAGTAACCCCAATAGTAACATCATTTGCAATAGTTTTCATCCCGTCCCCTCCACTAGATCAAATCAATATTAATTGTGCCTTATTTCACTTGCATAGACTTGAATTGTTTTTAGGGAAAGCCCATATTTGAGTTCAGAAGTCACTACAAGCAGCATTGAGACCGAAGATGGAATATTCTGTTGACCGTGAAACCTTGATGTCATTCTGTGTATATAGAATGTAAAAGGAACATTCAGTGTTACTGCCACATGTCATTGTACACGAACTCAATTAGCATTGTAATGGCCAAACGCATTCCCCCATGCTTTTCTCTTTTCGAAAAACAAAACTGAAAACCAAATCAACAACTCTATCCCCCAACAGCTGCCTAATTTGAGGAGTCTGACCCTCACAGCTCACGAGTGTGGGTGCAAGGAGCCGCAGTGCGAATGTTGTGTGGGTGTGTGTGAATGGATGAGAGCGCCTCGGAAGGGACTCTGCAGATACTGTACATACCAGTACCATTTTAATAAAGCATGTATGATAAACCAAACCGAGCTGAGTTGGACTTTCTATACGAACTGGAAGCCAGTGCATTATGGTTTGGCAGTCAAGATTGTGCACTTGACTCTCGATAAGGAAGACCTTGGAAACGAAAAAGCAGGCACTGGTTAACCAAGTTGTACACGTTGTACCACATTCACTGTAACTTTAGGAAGAAATTCCACTTTGTGGAACACTCTAAGAGATCTGAGATTACTCAGGTAAGAATTGACATATAAAAAGGCACATATTTTTACTTTATATTTTTGATGCCAACTGATTATACAAGTAATAGCACTACAGGTAGTAGTTACTGGACACAGAAGAGTAAAGGATATTATACCAATGGGTATTAATTTCTATTGTTAGTTGAAAAAAAAAACCCTTATATGTTGGTTACCCGATTTCATCATGACTATTTGGTTCTTAGTTGGGGACAAGTTATACCAAGAAAGACATTCTATTTGGTAAGTCATCAGTTAAGTCTCCTGCTTTATGAGATTACACGAAGAAGCCATCAAAGAAGGGACAACTTGTAACTGGAATAAGAAGATATGTACACTACAGCAGATCCTCAAATAACGTTTCATTTAATGTCATCTCATGATAAGATTGAGGAGATGCCGTAGGATCTTAACTCTTGTGCTAAAATAGGCTTCATTCTACATTACTTAAAGTTGCAGAACCTAGCAACAATGTTAAGTGAGGATTTGTTGTACTGCATTCTATTATATTCAGTCTCGGAATATTTTGTAGAAAATGAACTTCAGCCAAATCTTAGCTGAAGACTGGTTGTAAACATGAGAGTTAGTAAATGCTCTGTGTTTTTATGTAAAGTGTTTTCTAAACACATTTGTTAAACATGTCCTCTGTATTAAGATATATATATTCATATATGTGTATGTATATATATATATATATATGTATATATGTATATATGTATATGTATATATGAATGAATCTTTTGAGCCTAAAGTTCAGACATACACTTGTGGGTACAGAAACTCTAAATATTCCTACAGTAGAAATTATGTAGTATGTTAAGAAAAATGAGTCATTTTGTGTTTTGGACTTGAAATAAACCGTGTTCTGTAGACAATTCCTAATCTTCAGTTGAGTGTTTCTCATTCTCAGGCAGTATGCTGGGCAGGCGATGAGGCAGGGCGTGGTGCTGGGGTGGTGCAGCTGCTGGAGTTTTCCCCCTTAGCCACTGTTCACTCCTGCCTGATTATCTGAATGACTGGGGGAGCTACATATAAAACCTTGGTCCCCAATCCAAACCTACCACCTGCTGAGTGAGAACTGAAAGAGAATGGATCTCAGACTTCCGTTTGCAAGAAGTGCCTTGGGTAATTCTTACAATCAGGCACGTTTGAGAAACACCACACCAACCTTTTCAAATTATATTGTCTGTCTCTGTCATCTGCTTGAAAGAGAAATAGAAATGGAACTTATTCTTGGATAATTTTGGTTTGATTCCCTGTTACTTCATTTTGTATCATTCCTTAAACTTCCTGAGTTAAAAATCAGTTTCACATAGCAATCTAATGTGATTATTAAAAGTAAATTTTTATGCAGATATTTATATTTTGGTAGTATCTCTGAGTTGGCATATTTCCCAAATAAAATCTACACTGTTGTACTGTACTTGTAGATTTCTTTCTACAAGGAAATGTACCCATTCAGATACAGATCAAGTTTTTAAAACCTTGACAGGTGTTAAGGCTGCTTATGTTTTCCTTACAATAATTCTACATGCCTCTTTTTATGAATCTGCATAATTTGACATACCTACTTGTATTCAAAACCTAGAAATCTAAAATTAATTTACCGAGCTCGTACTGGAGAAAACTTCTCTAGAAAATTTGACATTGAATCAGACTCTCCTTATCCAAGTACTTCGTTTCCCTCTTGGTAACTGAAAAGCACAATGAATTGCTGGAGGTGCATGCCATCGTTATGTTAACAATGTGTAATCTTACAGAGAGCAGTTACAGGTCAGAATAAACTGGTAATACCACAACAAGGGATTCAGAAAATTTTTAAGTTGCTTTGAACAGACTGGAAATAGGAGTTATAGAACATTGTAGTGATGGTTTTTTTTCTCTAATGGATTAAAAGCAAATACTCCAAGAGAGCTTTTGAGTATGTTTCATTAAGGGCAGCTACCAATTTGGTAGGAGATAATAACCACGGATTATGATGTATTTGTTGTGGCAAGAGAGTTCAAATAGACCACCCAACCTCTCTTTACTGTTTTTAGAGAAGACTGTCACCCCCTGGCAATGTCCGAAAAGTCTGTGTCTCCTCACCACATGTCCGTGAGTCAGACATCAGGACACTGGGCCAGATTTCAGCGTCGAGTGTGTTCTGCCGTCACTAGTGACAGAACGTTGGGCTGCCTGTGACTGCTCCGCTCGAGAGAGCACTTGAAGTGCTGTGAACACCGGTTTGATCTCCAGAGGTTTGCTTCCGTCTTGCTGTATCTGCATAGAACTCAACTATACCAAATCATCAAGTTTGATGTAAGACTGGTAAACATTTGCATATTTGTTTTGAAAGCATGATTTTAATGGCTACATAGTATTCTCAAATACCGTCTTTTGCTGTGTACAGTGCATGCTTTTTTGCCCAAAAATTTAAAGACAGAGAGAAACATCAATGTGCGGTTGCTGGGGGTCATGGCCTGCAACCCAGGCATGTGCCCTGACTGGGAATCGAACCTGCGACACTTTGGTTCACAGCCTGCGCTCAATCCACTGAGCTACGCCAGCCAGGGCTACTTTTTTGCCCAAATTTTTAAAAGGAAAAAAGGACGTGCATTATACATGGGCAATACTAATTCTATATATGTTTTTAATTCTTTTCTTTATGCTTACACATTAAAAGCATAACTCTAGAAAGCAATAATGATATCTGTATGCAAAATAATACCCTGGAATATGATAATCAGCTTTGTTTCTAAATATAAGCAAATAAAAATTGAATTAAAAAATTAAAATGAAAGATTTTTTTCCTGAAAGCTTGGGCCAAAAACATGGGTGCATATTATACACAGAGCACATTATACACGGCAAAATGGAAAATGCAGGAACTTCCATATAGGGTATGGTACCAATTTGGTTTGAAGGAAACCGGGGGAAAGCAAAGTTTCGAAAATAACAGAATTTAAAAACTAAAATAACTATGCTTTTGCCTAGTTATAAAAGTAATATATGCTCAGTATACAGAAAAGGACTAAAAAAGTAAGAATCAAAAATCAAGAGAAGCAGTGTTAACTTCCTACATCTCCATTCCCTTTCTATGTATACAGGGCCACAGTGTATTCTCCAAGGCTTGAGACTTGAGCTTTCCACCCAGTCACGCTGGACATCTCTATCTGGAGCCTCAGAATGAACGCACGTTACCCCCAGATTTACTCCTGCTCTTGATACACGGGCAGAGAGCTACAGGTAGGTCTTCCTACCTCCCTGCTGTTGCCGTCAAATTCATAGTTCCTGTTGGCAATATCAAACATAACTTTGACCTACTGAAAAGCCTTGAGTGGCTCCTTATTTCCTGAAGACTCAATACAAGGTGTCGGTCCTCTTCTCACTTCCCACTGTGATTTTCTGCTGCTTAAAACTTGTACTGTCCAGAATGTACCCCTAGCTCCGTTCTGCAGTCTGGATGTTCCTCTTCTCCACATCTTCCCAAGGTCACTGCCCTCTGAGAAACTTGCTCAGTTCCAGAGACCCAGGCTCCCGGTGATTCCGGGCCCCCATCCATCATACAGCAGCTCCTGTTTGCAGTTTCACTGACTTTCCTGTGTTGTGTTGCAATCATCTGTTTCATAAGCCGGGACCAGAGCCAGCTCATATTGTGGCACAATGTTTTTCCTAAGCTTAGTACAGTGCTAGGTACCTAGTATTTGCACAGGTTTTTTTTTTTTATTTGTAAAGTGAGAGGGATAGACAAACACTGATAGCTTCGAAACGGGGGCCCCAAGGAAACCCCAAGGACTGAGAAGATAGCCGGGGAGCCGCACAAGAGCAGCTTTTGTTTGTGTTGGGTTTGCAAGTAAGAATTTGAAGGGTTTAAAACATATAATTAACATTTATATTGAATCATTACTGCTCAGGTAAAGAATTTCTCTGCAACCTAAAACTTCAGCCCACATTTTATGATGTGAAAGGACTCAAGTGTTTTTTAAATTAAACCATTTCAAGGGATTAACAGTTTATGCTACCAGAAAAAAAGTGTTGGAGAGCAACTGGGCGACATGATTCCCAGTATCCTGTCAGTTTGTGAGTACAACTCAAAGGTAGAACTGTGCCATCCCCTACGTATGTAGCCACACCATACGACTGCCAAGTGTAGGACTGTCTTCCTGACACACCTGGGTGATGTGCGGCCCTAACCCGTGTACCTGTCTCATCGGAATTGTTTTGCAGCACCTGGGGTCAGGAAAGGGACAAGGGAGTAAAGGAGAGGAAGGACCCCCAACTTTTTTTCTCATCAATGCCATTGAAATCCCACGCAGGGTGGCTCCCTCCCACTGTGTCCCCCACCCTCCACCCCTACCACTGCTATCTCCCAGTCTGTTCCTGTGGTAATGTAGAAAAAGAGAAGCTGAAGTGAGAAGCAAGTTTAAGTTTGATCTTGCCAAACTGCAATGTAATCAAAGCATAATGGGAAAAGTTCGACAGCTGCACTTGCCTGGGAAGAAATGCCTTACTTGGGAGGCGAGGAGCAGGGAAGGGGAGAAAGACCTCTGCCATCACAACCGTGCTACGAAGTTGGCCAAAAAGTTTGCTACGTCTTTTTCCGTATACTGGCTCTAGTAGCGCTTAGTTGTCTTTAACTTCATTCAAAACAATTTTATCAGACTGTATTGTGACAGCTGTCATATCAGCATGCATTTAAAACAAAACATCACCTGGCTGGCGTAGCTCAGTGGATTGAGCGCGGGCTGCGAACCAAAGTGTTGCAGGTTCGATTCCCAGTCAGGGCACATGCCTGGGTTGCAGG